CATACCAACAAAGATGTTGTGTCCGCCGAGAACTGAAAAATAAATATTAAAAATTCTCTCTCTCTCTCTCTCTCTCTCTCTCTCTCTCTCCACTCTCTCTTTAAAAAAAAAAAAAAAAAGGGCTGGATGATAGCTCAGTTGTAAAGCACCCCCCAGGTTCAGTATCCAGTACAGGGGACTGGGGGCACAGCATGTGTCATTAACAGCTTCATCAAGAAGGCTACTCTAACTGTGGCTCATCCCCTAGTTATTTCTCTAATCTATACTCCTCCAACTCAAATGATAACTAAAAACCGATTTGATCATCTTAACCTTAGTATTCGAAAATATGACTCTGCCTAGAATATTTTCATCTCTCTCTCTCTCTGAATGCTTCTTTGTGAGTGAGGTACTCATAAGTCTGATTTGTAGCTTGATCTATGGATTTCAAACAATGCTATAAAATTTCAGATTAATAGGCAGCTCTATTGTCTCCTCTCTCCTTAGTATTTACTCACTTATTAAACAGAATAGCAGAGAACATGACTGAAGAAATTGCCTTTGGGGGAATGGTCCTATCTTAGGTTTATACTGCAGGCAACCCTCAGTGTCTTGATATCAGGGAACCTGAACAAGTTCATGGAAACCATAAATTGTTCTGAGAATATTTTAGAAGTCTTGTTTTCTCTGAGTGACCGCAGCTTGCCAAGAGAGTAGAGGATGTGGTTGTGGGATASAGTGAGACAGAATGTACTTTTGTTGTTTGATCTTTACAGAGATGTCCCACTTTGTGTCCAATGGTGATGGACTCGTGGTGACTGTGGACAGTGAATCTGGGGACGTCCTGTGGATTCAAAACTATGCCTCTCCAGTGGTGGCCTTCTACGTCTGGCAGCGGGAGGGTCTGAGGAAGGTGATGCACATCAATGTTGCTGTGGAGACCCTACGCTACCTGACCTTCATGTCTGGGGAGGTGGGTCGCATCACCAAGTGGAAGTACCCGTTCCCCAAAGAGACGGAGGCCAAGAGCAAACTGACGTGAGTCAGGGAACTCAGGGCGGAGGGTGGCAGCTGTGACACTGGCATTTAGTGTACCCTACATTGGAGGAGGCTAGGGGGCAAGACAGATGTCTCCAAGGCCCTGAGGAACATCATGAGCCAAGACTGTCTCAATTAGAAACCCCAGAATATAAATACCAGGGGTTACCCCTGGATGCATCAGAGCTCTTGAATGTTAAGTCAAAATTTGGGGTGAGAATGAGAAGGAAACTGCTGAAATAACTACAGTACAATTTGGCTATATCTCTTGTGGAAATAGAAGAAATCTAAATTATTTATTTATTTGTTTTTGGTACCAGGGTTTGAACCCCAGAGATGCATGACCACTGAGCCACATCCCAGCCCTTTTTATTTTTTATTTTGAGACAGGATCTCACTAAGTTGCTAAGGCTGGCTTAAATCGTCCTGCCTAAACCTCCTGAGTCGCTAGTATTATAAACATGCACCACTGTGCGTGGCTAGAAATTTATTTATTTTTTAACTTCATGTATTTTCTAAATTTTTATTGTAAGCTGAGTTCATTTTAAAAAGCAGAAGAAAAAAAAGTGGTATGATATATCAAAGACTCAGTAGGCTGTGTTTTCCATCCCAGCCTGCTAATAACCTGTCACAAAGTCACTTAACTATGGCTAGCCTCAGTTTCCCACTTTACAGAGTTGTGGGAAATATAAAGAAGATAATGTACATGAAAGTGTTGTCTAAATTGTAAGACACTGCTCCTATGGAAGGTGTTTGTTGAAAGAGGCTTGGTGATTTAGTGTACCCTACTGGCTCCACAAAGGCTGTACATAGTAGTAGCCAGAAGCATCTAGAGGTGCAGCTCCCACTGTTTGTACACTGATACCGTCATCAGCCATGGCCCCATCCCCTCCACACTGCCCCAGACACGGACAGACCACCTAGCTAGGGGACTGGAAGTTCTTACAAATCCCTCCGCTCTGGGCATCTGGAGGAGAGCAGTTGACTGTTCCTCCAGGCCTCTGCTGAGCCTCTAGAATCCTTAAAAAGCCCCGAGACAGCATGGTGGTAACACTGGGGGTAGTGGTATGGAAATGCGCTGATCAGGATCATTCAAGAGTCAAACACAGTGGGTGCTAAGCTGACTGGTCATCAGATATGGTCCTTTACACTGAGCAATGTGTAGCCCAGCCCTGGCATTTTGCAGATGAGGAAACTGAGGCTCACCCTTTGGCAGCTTGTCTGTATTTTGGAAGGCAGCACGTGAAGCTGGAACCTGAAGTCCTGCTGTCCTATTCCTTGACGGCACCCCTGCCTCACACCCAATTCTCTCCTCCATGCCCAGGACTAATGAGGCTGTTCCTGTGGGCAGTATTCAGGGTTGACTCTGCTTTCCCAAAAACTCTCTTTTGTGGGATCTATACATGAAATGACTCGAACACATGTGTCTTTTCTCCCAGGCCTACCCTGTATGTTGGGAAGTACTCCACCAGCCTCTATGCCTCTCCCTCCATGGTGCATGAGGGGGTCGCTGTTGTGGTGAGTCTGCTGCGGGGCTCGCAGATGCAGCCTTCTGTTCCTTTTCCACAAAGAACGACTTTGAATTATATAGGACATCCTGCTGGTTATGAACATGAGACACAGAGCTGAAAGTTTCAAGAGCAGCTTCTGCACATCCCATATTCTATTTTGATGTGCAACAGAAGCAGCCTCCTAAAGGCGGAAGCATGGTTATTCCATGTTGCTCTTGTGTTCAAATCTAAGCTCCCAGGTGGTGTCCAGGCCCTCTTCAAGCCAGGACCACCAAGTCCTTGCAGCACCCTGTTAGTGTAGCCAAGTGCAGCTTCTCTCCGGTGCCCAGAGTTCTCTGTTCATCTTTCATCTGAGCATTTATTGGGACTGACATCACACTTCAAATGCCCTTCCTTCTTCCTTTTCCCTAATTCAAATCCCTTACATTCTTTGTGACCTCCCCAAGCCTCTGTGGACCTCACCAGCCTGCTGTGAGCAGTCTTTTCTTTGAATGTCTAAGGCATTATGATCCCAGCAGCTCACCCTGACCCTTCCAGTATCTGGGCTCTTTGGTTGTACCTTGTCTTCCCAGCGAGTTGGTTACTGCTTGTGTGAGCAGGACAGTGCTGGAGCCACCTGGGCACCTAGATGGAATGGTTTCCATGAGTTGCATCTGTTGTGACTAGTAGACAGCCACTCACTCTCCTTCACTTAGATCTTCTCATCATTGTTTCTTGAAGCCTGTAACACACTGGGTGGTCCTCAGAACCCAGGTTAAGAACTGAAAGGGTGTCAGTGGAGCAGTCCTGTTCTGAGAAAGCAACTTCCCTTGCCTGGTCCTAAGGCCCCTGTGTCTTGCTCTGAGTGTCCTACACTAGAGCCCCACACTAGACACGGCTCATCTGGAAGCATGGCAGATCTATCAAGGCTCAGGATAATGGTTGGGGAGGTGTTCTGTGGGACCTGGGGAACCTGCTCTCCTGCAAGGGCTCCTGGACTCACCATGCCGTGTCTCCACAGCCTCGTGGCAGCACTCTTCCTTTGCTGGAAGGCCCCCAGACTGATGGTGTCACCATTGGGGACAAAGGGGAATGTGTGATCACACCCAGCACAGACCTCAAGTTTGACCCCGGACTCAAAGGGAAGAACAAGCTCAACTACTTGAGGAATTACTGGCTCCTGATAGGTAAGAGCTGGTCTCCAGAGGCAGCCTTAGCTAATGGCACACTGCCTCCTGGTGGACAAAAGCTGGCCTTGCTGGTTCTAATGCTCCTGGCTGAAGGCACTGTGCTCTGTCACTTCAAGGTGGTCTTTAGACCTTGGAACATATTTTACTCTCAGGGAGATTAAACAGGATAGACAGGTTATCAAAGACGTGAGAGCTCTCAGAAATTGTTTATATAGTGTTCCAAAATTCAGGTTCACAGTAACAAACTTTGTGTGATTACCTGACAAAAATGTCTATTTCAGGGGCTGGGGATATAGCTCAGTTGGTAGAGGGCTTGCCTTGCATGTACAAAGCCCTGGGTTCAATCCCCAACACCAAAAAAAAAAAAAAAAAGTCTATTTCTTATTTCTCACAGAGACCTTGTATAAGGAATCCTCTTATTTCTGTTTTATAACTAAGGAAACTGAGACTATTTCTATGGGAAGTTGGCTTGGAGTTCATGTGGGTGTGGAGCCAGGAGAGAAGAGGTTAAGACCAGGAGAATTGAAAGCCATGCAAGGTCAAAGTCTGCCCTGAGCCCCACTCTTTTCCTTTATTTTTCCGTTGTTGCCATCATCACTAATGGTCCTGAGGTTGAACTGGAGGCCCTGCCAGAGGTTATAGGGTTAGAGGCAGAGTTGACAGGTGAGAGGCGTTGTGTTCCCAGAAAGTGTCCTAAGTAATTGAGCAAGATGGAGTTTTCTTGAATCCCTTCTGCTCTTCTTATTTTTCCTTCTCTCTCTCCCTCTTCCCGTTCTCACACACACATACACACACACACACAGACACACTCCAAATGCGCTGTCTCCCAGGTGAAGGTAGGGATGAATCCCAGCGGGGCAGGCCAGAAGGCTGGTAGGGATGCCAGAATGCCATGGAAGCTGACAAGGCTTCTTCTCCCCATCCTCTTCCTCGTGGCACCTGCAGAAAGAGGTGAGAGCTGGAGCTCTGGCACAGGGATGAGGACAGCTAGGAGATCCCATACCTAGGAAGCATCATGACCTACCAGGCAGTGGGTCTAGATGGAGCTGTGTGCCTAGGAGCTGTGGTGGGGAACCTGGTGTGCCTGAGCCCTGAGGTGCCCTTTACAGGTTGCCCAGCTCTGTTTTGTCTTCCTCCTGATTCTTTGTATCCGCTTTTTTTCTTATTGTTTTTAACAAATAATAGGCAAAGGAGACAATTAAAGATTTCTACTCTTTTCTTACAGAAATAATTTGGGATGTATGCCCAAGTGGACCCATGTTGGAAAAAAAAATAGCTAATTGAGCAGAGGCCATTAAACTTACAAGGCTTTTCAGTTTTCTGTACCAGTTAAGGGGTACATGAACTGCCTGCCAGTGATGAAGAAGTGACATTGAGGAGAATACAAAAAAAAAAACATGGGGGGAAGGTCTTTATGGCTAAGTTGTAAAATTAGATCCCTTTAAAATGGTTTGTCCAAGAATGAAAACTAGGAAACAAATTATAAAGAAGTAGTTAAATAAGGATCTCATAATTCTGAGGTAGGTACCCTCTGAGGAACTCCACAGGTAGTCATTTTTAAATAAGGCAGAGGGAGTACTGACAATCTTCTTGCAGACTAGGGCTATGTGGTGTACCCCTTTACATCCATGTATGTCCTTCAGTTTGTTTTTTGTGAAAGAGATTAAAGACACCCCAAGTTCACGCTCATTTTAAAGACAGAATAGCCTCATGAGCTCGAGAGGCATAATCTATGGTTGCCCTAAACAGTGGTCCTGACCTGTGGTGTTCCCAGCATCACCCCAAGTTTGTCAATGAGGCGTGGACCATCCCTGGAGGGCCTGATGCCAGAGGTCCAGGGCAGGGACTGGCCATGTGCTTGTGGAGTCTGGACCTAATTGATGCTGATAGATAAATAAATCACAAAGGCCAGGTACTATTAAGAACTGTAGGAGAGATGGGGTGTTTGGGCTTAGGACTTCCATAGCACCTTCTTGGTAGGCGTCCTGTAGATAGGTGGGAGCATTAAGTGTGAGCGTTGGGGAAAGGGGCAGGTAGGATGCTGCAGCAGAGTGGCGTGTGGCACCTCATTTCTCTTAGCTGTAGTTCTCTTGTCAGTGGCCTCAGTTACCTGCAGTTATCCACATTCAGATTCCTGAGCATACCAGGGGTCTGAAGTGGGTAGTCACAAGGTGGGTGACCCTGCCCCTGAGCACTGGCRTGTCTCAGGGATCCTTAGTAATTGTTCAAAAGTGGGTTTCCTTTCAAGATGATGTTAGGCTGTAGGTGAGAAGAGATGGAGGCTGGATGAAGGACTGCAGGGGGATTTTCCAGGTCAAGAAACACTCAGCCTAGACTAGATCCTGCTAGTTTTCTTCTCCCATTTGTGTCACAGCTTCTGATGGGTTTGGGAGAATAATGGAGAGGTCGTAAGGTGAGAGAAACCTGAATCAGTGAGGTGTGATCCAAGTGAGAAAACAGAATAGAGCCTGACAGCCGGCAGCCGTGATGAGGAGGCCATTTTAGGCCACACTGGAGACATTTAATTTGAGATAAGTAGATTATCAAACCACATGATATCTTAGGTCCCAATTTTAGTCACCTCTCTTTTCTTATGGTATTTGAATCCATCAGATGCTCAATAAATGTGTATTGAATGATAGATAGTCATGAACTAGTTGTGAGGAGAATGGTACGTGGGCATTCAGAGAGCTGCGACACCCCACATCCACCTGGCAGATGTGCTCTCTTGCTGTCTTATGAGTGACTCACCATGTCCTCAGACAGAAGCTGAGGCTGGGGCTGGCACTGCACTGAGAAGCTGTGCTGCTCAGAAGGGAGCTGGGTAGTGATGGTGCTGGGTAGAGCGTGGAAGAAGAGCTCCTTGGACTCTGAACAGGCTTCCTAACACTTCACCTGTGACCTGGGCACGGAACCCACACAGGCCTCACTTTGGGACACTTCACAAACAYCTCAAACCCTCTCACCTTTATTCTCACTGTGAGACCCACAGTACTATTTTCTACCAAGTAATGACATTTCTGTTTTGATGAGATTTTTTTGGTTGCTGCCTCTCATTTTCTCTCACTAGATGTGAGGGTAGATGTGAGGGTTTGCCTTGTGGAACACCTCAGCAGGTGGTGACTGTTGCCTGAGTTTAGTGTTGAATGTCACCGCTGCTTGGGAAACTGTTCTCAATCAAGGTTTGTTTCCTCTCCCAGGACACCATGAAACCCCGCTGTCTGCATCTACCAAGATGCTGGAGAGGTTTCCCAACAATCTACCCAAACATCGGGAAAATGTGATTCCTGCTGATTCTGAAAAAAAGAGTTTTGAAGATGTAAGTGAGGAGTGRCCAGCTGCTGGCTCTCCTGCCAGGCGTTGGGGGATAAGGCAGTAGACTTTGCCCTGCCTCAGAGCTCACAGTCTATCTGGAGGGGAGAGGACCGCACCAGAATCCATAGCAAAGGAGATAAACTGTTCAAGGCTGCAGGGGAGGAGCAGGAAGTAATTCATGAAGGAAAGTACAAGAAAGGCCCAGGAGGGAGCAGGCCTGGAAGAATGGGGTGGGCTTGGCGTGATGGGTGCGAGCAGGAAGGTCCTGGAAGGAAGGGAAGAGCAGAGGTGAGAGCCTGGGTAGGAATGAGGCTGGGATGCCCAGAGCTGGGCTGTGAGGAAACAGGCCCCACAGGATCCAAGGCTGCCAGGGAAAGAGCTGAAGGAAATGAGCCAGGGGCAAAAGGGAACCACTTCCCAAGTCTCAGACAAGCCTGTTGGAGGGGTTAGGGCTTGGAGAAGAGGGGAGACCTGAAGTTTTATGAAGCCAAGGTCAGACTACTGACAGTTTCCTGGTTTGGTTGCTTGAAGTGGCAGAGGCTTGGTCTGGCAGGGCCCCAGAGCACCTGGAGGGTGGTACCTCGGGCACAAGGAAGTTATTCAGGTAGCAGCTGCCCTGAAGTGCTGATGTGGGCTGTGGAGACAGGGTGTGCTAGTCAGGGTCTCAGCTGAGAGAGATGGCCCACACAAACTAGGGTAATTTGAGAATTACCCTAGTTTATTAGTGGCAGGACTGTTCAGACAGGTGTGGACAGTACCGGGGGTCTCATGAAAGGGCAGAGAGTGGAAGGGAACCCAGACCAGGAGCTGAGAGCGGCGATGGAGGGATGCTCAACCCAGCAGAACTCCTCGTTCTCCCGCCTCTGTCTTATCTGCTGGTGCTCCCTGTTGGCTTCACCCAGTCAGAAACCAGAGGTGTGGGAGACCATGACTCTGGCCCCTGCAGGTCAGCCTTCTGAGGACACAGCAGGTGCCCTGTGAAGGAGACCCCACACCGCCAGCTGAAGTCCTTACTGAGTCGTTTGGACCTCACAGCTGCTGCCCTACCATGGGGGCCCAGGGATGGAGAAGGTGCCTGGGCTAGGGGAGGGTCAGGAATGAGAGCAGCTGCTGATGTGGAGCCCAAGGCCACAACAGATTCACTTGAGAGACTTAGGTTTTATCAAGAGGCAAAGGGTGATCATGGTCTCTTAAGAGTTCAGGGCACAGTGTCTTTATCCATCACCTCTGGAGGCAGCCAGGTTGGAGAAATACACTGATTCTTAAAGCAGTGATTTGAATAGCATTGCCCTAAGAGCTTATTAAAGTCGTGCATATTCATTATTGAACACTTAGAAATAAAACTGTAAAGAAAATAARACAATATCCTTAACGTAACACCCAGAGGTAACCACAGTCCAGACTTATATATTTAACCACCTGGTCTTTAGCCACAGTTCTTTTGAAATCCATCAAAATACTCTCGCTCAGGCAGTAATGAGGCTGACTCTTTAAACAAACACTCTCAAGCAGATATAGACGAAATGAGTATGGTTGCTGGTCACATGCTCTGCAAACACTCCTTAGCCGCCTGCTACACACCAGGCTGCCACACTTCCCATGCACAGTGGGAGATACTGGGTGGAGGTGTGAGCAGAGCTGGAAGTGCCTGGGAGGGCCCAGGGAGCAGCAGGGGAGAGAATAGAATGGTGTGGGAGGCTCACAGCCAGAGGGTAGGGAATCCCACTGGGATGGGAGGCTGTGTGCTCATCTAGTTGGGCAAACAGAAGAGGAAGTACCTGGAGCACTGGGTGTATGAGAGGCGACCAGCACATTTCTCAGGGATTCTGAGGAGCTTGGAGCTTTATCTGATTTGAACCTTCTAAATAAAATTTTCTTTAACAAAGACTTCTGGTGCTTCTTAAAAGCTTTAGGAAAATAGTAGAATTCTTGAATAAATTATTTTAGTTTTGGAGTTACAACAAAAGTTTATATGCAATGTAAGAAAGYAACTTGATCTCAGCACTGAAGGGAGGAAGGAGGGAGGGAAGGAGGGACAGAGAAACAGGCAGCTTCATTACTTTATAGGCATATGSGGGGGGGACTTTCCTTTTCAGTATGAAATTGTATCATCATATTGACTGCCAGCTTTTCACCAGACATTGTTACAGATGATTTCAGTTTTTCCAGACATCAAATCTAGGGTCAGAGGAGGAAGTTTTTGCCTTCATTGAACATTTTCAAAAGAATATCAGGTCAGATGTGATGGGACACACCTGTAATCCCAGCAACTTGAAGGCTGAGGCAGGAGGATCACAAGTTTGAGTTCAGTCTGAGCAATGTAGTAGAACCTGTGTTAAAATAAAAATTTAAAAAGAGGCTGGGGGTGTAGTTCAGTAGTAGAGTGCTTGTCTAGCATGCATAGGGCTCTGGGTTCCATCCCCAGTACCACACACACAGAGAAAGAAATAATATCAGAGTCTAAAGGCACTTGCAAAAGTATTTTGCTTTGAAATATGTTTTTGAGCAATGGTAACATCACTATAGAAACATGTGGTCTTTCAGAGCCATTGCCTTGGAAGAAGCAACAGTTATCTGATGATGTAACTTTGATGTGCTCAGAAAAAAAAAAAATCCAGCACATTAGAGAAGGGTCCAATTATAACAAGGGATTCTCTTGATCTTTTACCTCACCTATATCTGGCCAGAAATTCTGCAATGACATAGTGATTCTCTCCTACACAAGGTTATCAACCTGGTGGATCAAACAGAAAATGCACCAACCACTATGTCTCAGGATGTGGAAGAGAAGTTGGCTCATGCCCCTGCCAAGCCTGAGGCTCCTGTGGACTCCATGCTCAAGGACATGGCTACCATCATCCTAAGCACCTTCCTGCTGGTTGGCTGGGTAGCCTTCATCATCACCTACCCCCTGGTAAAACTCAGCCTTCCCCCCTACCCTCACCCCACTGCCCAATCCGTTCCTGCAATTCTCCACCTATCATCTTTATCAGACAAAAATGGCCAATGCATTTCTTTTCACATTTCAAAGTCAATATTTGAACCAGATGTGGTGGTGTACATCTGTAATCCCAGCTATTCATCATCGGTTCAAGACCCAGCCTAGGMAACTTAGTGAGACCCTGACTCAAAATGAAAAAGAGACTAGGGGTGTAGCTCAGTGGCAGAGCACTGCTGGGTTCAACCCCCAGTACCACAAAATTAAAAAAGAAAGAAAAGAAAGAAAGTCAATATTTGCTTATCTTAAAACAAATTTTGTAGTTAGAGATGCTAGTGTTCTAGATAAGGACAATTTTGTACCTAAATCTTAATGTTTTAAAAAAAAAACAGATTGTAAGAGCTGATTTATAAACCTGCCCTCAGATAATTTTGAGTAGTTAATTATGCCTTCTTTTTTAAGACCAGGGATAATAAATAAAACCCTTTCTTCCCTTGAAAATTGCCTGTTAGGTCAGTGAGAGCAAAAATGGTGGCGTGGTGATTCCTTTGACTTCTCAGTTGGAAATAATTGAGTAAAAATTCTGCCACTGAGCGGGCAGCGGGTGGGATGAAACCTTGATCCCTCCAGCAAGTCCATGGAGCATCAAGTGTTGCCTCCTCAGAGCAGCAGCGCTCAGGCAGCCCTCGGGGGCCTGGACAGTCTATTCACCTGATAGTTTTTGAGGTCAATAGGCTCTGGGAACCTAAGCCTCCTCCCAGGGTGCTTAGCTAGTAAAAGGTGTTTCCAGGACTTCAACTCAAGGTTAAGAGAAAGGGAGCTAGAAAACTCACCTGTGGGTTGTGGCTGCACTCAGGCCCCTGTAGTCATCCTCCTGCGCCAAGTAAGAGTGATCACAGRTTACTGCCTCTTCTGATGATGCTAGAGTGAACCTCTCAGGGTGCTGGAGAGGAGTGAGGGTTCAGGGAAGCAGCATGATAGATGAAGCCCCATGCTGCCTTGTCACAGCCATGTGGCCGGGGCGGGTGGCATTGAGGTTCCAAGCCCCAGCTTCCTAGCTGCCTTCTGTGGGCCACCCAGGYGCTGAGCTCCATCAAGCACACAGCTGTGGGGAGCTGGCCTGGCCCCATGCACCACATTGCCTCCCACCTCAGAACATCCTCCCCATTCAGTGTCACCTTTGCAACAACTCCCAGGCTTCCATAAAACTCCTGAATTCTAGGATTAAGTAGAAGCCCGTTCCTCTGGGCCAGTCCTTCACCCAGGGTAGAACTTCCTCTCTCGCTTCTGCCTGGCAGCCATTCAACCTCCACTGGCCCCTCCAAGGTTGGGGCATGGCCATACTGGGAAGGGTCGCACTGGCAGAATGACCTCCAGTCATTGGACAGATTGTGCCTCTCTGTGGCTTCTCCCTGGTTTCATGCCTAGGGTCACATAAAGTACACCTGGTCCCCTGCCTCGAGGAGCCACTTCTTTCCTGTGCTTGCTTCCCTGTAGAGTACCACAACACCTACCTGGATGTGTTTGTTTGCAGAGCATGCATCAGCAGCAGCAGCTCCAGAACCAGCAGTTCCAAAAGGAACTGGAGAAAATCCAGCTCTTGCAGCAACAGCAGCTGCCCTTCCATCCTCCTGGAGAATTGACCCAGGACGTCGAGCTCCTGGACACATCAGGCCCCTACTCAGAGAGCTCAGGCACCAGCAGCCCCAGCCCATCCCCCAGGGCTTCGAACCACTCGCTGCACTCTGGCAGCTCTGTCTCCAAGGCTGGTGCCRGCCCCTTCCTGGAGCAGGATGAGGAAGGTAAAGCCAGTTGCCATTTTGGTGCTGCTTTCTCTTTGTGTTGAATTCTACCTGAGACCGTAGAGCACACCACATCCTTCTGCAGAGTCTGCTTATCTTATCTCCTTGACATGATAAAGGGCCATTTCTAGAAGGTTCACAATAATGCAAGGAAACAATACAGGGGAGGAGACAGCAGCCCTGGGCATAAATGGGCAGTGAGCCCTGCTGGCCCTTGTGTGGAGCCTCTTAAATCCCAACTCTTCGTTTAGAGGTCAGGAAGCTGGCAGCCATTTTAGCTTTGAAATTCTTTAGGTGGAACTGTTTAAAACAATCTCTTCTTTTTCTCCTTTTGTGCCAGATGAGGAAACCAGCATGGTGATAGTTGGGAAAATTTCTTTCTGTCCCAAGGATGTCCTGGGCCATGGAGCTGAGGGCACAATTGTGTACCGGTGAGTAGAGTGCCGGTCCTGTGCCCTTCCTACCAAGTGTGTGAGTGCCTGTCAATTGCAGGCTGAGAGTCAGGCTCCAAGGGCACCACAGGATCAAAGTGGTGACCATGGCAGGTGAGACCCACATCCAGGAAGCTTGTGCACTAAAAGAGAAGTGATGTCCATGGGGCTGCTAGTGGTCAGTCTGTGAGACTGATAAGGTGACCTCTGTGTCACAGGAGGACACTGTGGGTCCTTAAGTCTCATCTCGTTTCCATAGCCTGACTTGCACCAGTCAAGCACAACTGTTGCTCCTTGTCCTWCAGGGGCATGTTTGACAACCGTGATGTGGCTGTGAAGAGGATCCTCCCCGAGTGTTTTAGCTTTGCAGACCGTGAGGTCCAGTTGTTGCGAGAATCAGATGAGCACCCGAATGTCATCCGTTATTTCTGCACGGAGAGGGACCGGCAGTTCCAATATATTGCCATTGAGTTGTGTGCAGCCACCCTGCAGGAGGTGGGTATGACTGGCCTTTAGGTGCGAAGGGCCACTGACAGCTTTGCCATGACCCCTGTGGACAGCCTCCCTTCCCCTGTCAACTGGGATGTTGTTTTAGGGATTGCCAATTTATTRTTGTGTTTTATGAACCTGATTGAAATTGTAGTATAGGAGACTATCATGCTAAGTGAAATAAGTTAGTCCCAAAAAACCAAAGACCAGATGTTCTCTCTAATATGCAGATGCTAACTCACATTAAGGGGGAAGGTTGGGGGAAGAATAGAGGTTCTTTGGATTAGACACAGGGGAATGAAAGGAAGGAAGAGGGGAGGGAATAGGAAATACAGTAGAATGAATCAGACATAACTTTCCAGTGTTCTTATATGAATACACAACCGTATACTCCCCATCGTGTACAACAAAACTGGGAAGTTCCACTCCACACATGTTCGATATGTTAAAATACATTCTATGGTCATGTATAACTAAAGAGAACAAATAAAAAATTTTTAAAAATTATAGTACAATGAAATGTACTCCTTTTAAATGTATAGTTTAATGCACTTTGACAAACGTATATGTATCCGTTTAACCACTAACACCAAATGTAGAATATTGTTGTCACTCTAGTTGTATGTGTTTGTTTGTTCATTTATTGGTACTGGGGATTGAACTCAGGGATGCTTTACCTCTGAGCTACATCCCTCACACTCTTTTTTTAATATTTATTTTTTAGTTGTACACAATACCTTTATTTTATTTATTTATTTTTATGTGGTGCTGAGGATCGAACCCAGGACCTTGCATGTGCTAGGCGACTGCTCTACTGCTGAGCCACCGTCCCAGCCCCATCCCTCACACTCTTTATTTTTTATTTTGAGATAGGATCTTGCTAAGTTGCTTAGAGCTTCACTGAATTGAGGAGGCTTGCCTCAAACTTGGATCCTCTTGCCAATTTTAACTTGGGAGGCTAAGGCAAGAGGATCCATGTGTAAGGTGCACCACACCCAGCTCACCCCAGTTTTAATGGAGTGGTCTTCTGAACATGCCTGGACAGTCTTGGTTTGCAGTTGGCATGTGTCTYCCCTTTTGCCTCCAAGGAACCTGTTCAGTTATTATTCCCATCTCTGGTCATAGCTGGTGTGTGCTTGGAGGTTGCTTGTTGATGAGTGAAGACTGTATAGTTATCCAGCAGACTTATTTCACTCTGTTCCCAGGCTTACCTTAAAATATTTCAGTATCATTTGGATTCCTCTGCAGGCTTACCTATATAAGACAGTGAACTTGAATGTCTTGCCGTCGTCGTCGTCGTCGTCGTCTTCTTCTTCTTCTTCTTCTTCCTCTTCCTCTTCCTCTTCCTCTTCTTCTTCTTGACAAATCTATATTTTTATTTATTTATTTTTATGCGGCGCTGAGGATCTAACCCAGGGCCTCATGCATGCGAGGCAAGCACTTCACCCCTGAGCCACAACCCCAGCCCCCGCCTTCTTATCTTTCTTATTGTGAATTAGTACATTGGAGCTTTACTTATTTGTTTAAGTCAGTCTGTAACTAGGAGATCTGTTGGGAAATATGGATTTCAATAGAGAATGTTGGTAATAATGGAATCAAGAAGGAGCTCGGGATCTAAGAAGTCCTGAGGGCTGCGCTATGACCTTGCCATTGTGTCTTTTGCAGTACGTAGAGCAGAAGGACTTTGCCCACCTTGGCCTAGAGCCCATCACCTTGCTGCAGCAGACCACCTCAGGCCTGGCACACCTCCACTCCCTCAACATTGGTAAGAGGCTCCCCAGGGGCCAGGTGGGGGTGTCTGCCTGGTTAGCTCTTTACTACATCACAGTTGTACAAGGGTGAAGAGGGAGCCTAGGTAGTTCCTTGACAAGTTGGGTTAGAATATAAGAGGGAACCTTACGTAGTTTAAAACCTTTAGAGAGGATAGTGGGTATATTGGGGTTTGACAAGAACCCATTTCCCCCTTATGGGAGGCTGGGGTTGCTCATGGTAAGCACTGGATGAATCTGGAATTCTCTCTTAGTTCACAGAGATCTGAAGCCCCACAACATTCTCCTCTCCATGCCCAATGCACACGGCAGGATCAAGGCCATGATCTCTGACTTTGGCCTCTGTAAGAAGCTGGCAGTGGGCAGGCATAGCTTCAGTCGCCGTTCCGGGGTGCCTGGCACTGAAGGCTGGATTGCCCCAGAGATGCTGAGTGAAGACTGCAAGGAGAACCCTGTGAGTGATGGCATGGCCTCTGAAGACCACAGACCCAGTCATTGTGCTCCRTAGTCAGAACCGTCAAATTCAAGTTTTGGGGGCTGAGACACATGTTCCTGGAGAAGGTCATTGCTTTAACAGAGAGCTCCTATGCATACATTTCCATATTGTCTCATACTCAGATACATGAGGGGGCAAATATGGGCAGTTGTCTGTTTTTTTATCCTATTTTTTTAATATTTATTTTTTAGTTGTAGTTGAACACAGTATCTTTATTCTATTTATTTATTTATATGTGGTGCTRAGGATCCCACAGCCTTGCACGCAAATGCTCTACCGCTGAGCCCCAGCCCCAGCCCACTGTCCTATTCTTCTAATCACTTTTAAACCGCATTTTTATTTGGGGGAACTGGGGAATCAGGGCGTATGTGGGATAAGCAAACCTCCAGTTTTCATTATTTTTTATATTTGTTTTTGTTTTCCCTACTTTTTAATTTGAAGAGTTTTAGACATGCAGAAAATTTGAATGTTATTGTGACCTATGTTCCTCTACCTGTCGATGATTTGCTATTTTGCTTTGTCTTTCTCTTGCTGAATTATTGGCATATAAGTAGCAGCATTTCAATCCTGTATACCTCTACATACAACAACAGTGTCTTTTAGGAACAAGTACCTTCTACTTGGTCACCACCGTGTCATTATCACACCTGAACATTCAATAGTGTTCTCATCCTATCACCTAATATTCACATTTCCAGTTAGTCCCCAAAGTCTTCTCTAGGGCTGGATTCTGTTTACCAGGACCCCATCGATTCTTCTACATCGCATTTGATTTTATCTTCCTAAATTCCAGCGGTCTCCCACCTATTTTGTTCCTTGTTGCTGACATTTGGAGAGGATAGGAATACCCTGTTTGGGGTTTGTTTGCCTATTTCTTTATGACAGTGTTTAATATTTCTCTCTATTCTTTATATTTCCTGTGAACTAGATGTTAGGTCTGGAGGCCTGATTAAATTCCAGTGAAATGTTTTGGGCAAAAATAAATCACAGATCACTACATCAGGAAGTATATGATAACAAATTGTACCCTTGTTATTGTACCCCTATTAGTAATGCCCACTTGAGTCACCTGTGTCTGCTGATCTCTCTTCTGTAAAGGTTCATTTCTCCCTTTGTTGTTAGCAAGTCATGTGCAGGGTGACCCTCTGGCACAGTGGGTGTTGAAGTCCTTCACCCAGTGGCTTTCATCTATTGACCAAGCTTCCTGAAGCACTCATTGCAAAGAAATCATTCATTTATTATCTGGTATTTAGCTCCAATTTTAACTCCTTTTCTATTTCTTTCTTAATCACTGTGGACTCAAGATTCAAGTAATAGTCAACGGTAGTCATTCTTTTTTTTTTTTTTTTTTTTGTCCTTACTCCTTTTGATACTTGAAATGTCCCAGATTTGGCCAACAAGATCCCATTAAGCTGGCTTTGGCATCCATTTGCTAAGAGTAGGCTCATATTTAGACATCTTTCTTTATAGCATAAGTCATCAAAGGCTCATCTTGTCCCTTCCCTGATCCAGAACTGGGTCGGATGAGCCATCTCAAACAGAACAAACAGGATAGAATCCCTCTTATCCAGTTCCCTGGGGACAGCAGCCTGTCAATTATCACAAGTCAGAAACAATGATGAATTATTAAGAAAATACACACATATCTTAAATACATTTTTTTCCCCAGTACTGGTGATTGAACCCAGGGGCACTGTACCACTGAGCTACGTCCCCAGCCCTTTTTTCTTTCATTTTGAGACATGTTCTCTTTAAGTAGTGGATCTGGTCTCTAAGTTGTAATCCTCTGGCCTCAGCCACCCRAGTTGCTGGTTATTGGTGTGTACCATCACACCCAGCTTTTAAACACATTTTCACTTAAAGCAAGTTATGTAGTTCTTTAAGTAATAGGAAATTTCTGCCATAGGTGAAGGTTTTGCTTTATTTTTTTCAAATTTGGGTCTGACTGATTGAAGTTGTTCATTTCTCTCGAAGAATACTCATATGCCACTTATGATGAGGCTCAGACATTTCAAACATGTCCTAAGGGGCTTGAGAGCCCAATCCTTCGTGTCCCAGTCCAGTACTGTTGGTTCACAGCAGTTTGGTAGCCACTCTCTTTAATTGAGTCTTCCCAAAGATTCAGCAGACCTCTCACTTTGTGGAACTCATATTTTATCAGCTTAGGGAATATTTAAATGACAAGTACAAATGGCAGTAGTACATCTGGGGATGAACTGAACTGGGACCCAGGAAGGCTGGAAAGGCACATGGCTGGAGTACCCACTGCTGGACTCCACCTCTTATATTTTCCACAGAACAATTTGGGAGAAAAGCCAGGCACTCTTCATGATCTTCCATGCTGGAGAAAACAGGCCCTTAACAATGTAGTAGTTTGTTCAGCCTCTCCACAGGCCAAAACAGAACAAAACCTCCCTGCCCTCAGCGTGGCCTTTGCTGGGGATGAGAGGCAGCATGAGCTGCAGAAGGCATGGGGGGTGGCACGGCACCGTGGGAAGGTGCAGGGGCAGGAAAAAGATCCAACAATGGTGGCTGTGTTCCAGGTGTAAAATTAGAAGACCCGTCCTGGCGGGTCACTGTCTAGGAGGGACCCTGAGCTTGTCCTCAAACCTTTCTGTCTATGTCCTCATCTGGGAAGGCTCACCCCACAAGGCTGTGGTGAGGCTGAACGAATGTGCTACGATGTTAAGGGCCTGTTTTCTCCAGCATGGAAGGCAATGAAGAGTCCCTGGATTTTCTCGAAAGTTGTTCTGTGGAAAACATAAGAGGTAGAGCCCAGCAGTGTGGACTCCAGCCATGTTCAGGGACCCCCTTATGGTAGACCTTAAGGAGCATGAGCTACAAATCACACGCTGTGTCTCTTTAAAGAGAGGCTCACCTGGACACTGAGCAGTTTGACAGGATAAGTGAGAGGTGATATCAGATGTAAAAACGACTTCACTGGAAACCTGTCAGGTGGTTTCTTTCTTGTGCCAATTTTGAACTCCAAACAGATTCCTTTACTAACAAAGGCTAGATACCTAATATGTGCTGGCACCTTCTAGGCACGAGGGCATAGCAGGGAAGTGAACACGGAGGTCCCCACCGATGAGGATTCTGCTGTTGGGTAAAGAACATCTAACTGCTAGGGGAACCACCTTCGGGCAAACACTGTTGTTTTTTAATTCGCTGTCTTCCCATATTAATGCATTTAGTCTTCACAACACCCCTTGAGAACAAACCATCACTATCCTCATCTTACACATGAGGAAGCCAAGGCACAGTGATCAAGGCCGAGAGGCAGAGCCGGCATTCCAGGCAATTGGCTCCMAAGTCCACTTCTTCCACTGTGACCAAGACTGCTGTGGGCAATTAAGATCCATCGGCTGATTCTCCCAAGACACCTCCCAGGGGCTAAAGTGGCAGCAAGTGAGGCAAGAACTCTGCCTGAGACCTCTCATGCCCTGCGTTTCTTTTCAGACCTATACAGTGGACATCTTCTCTGCAGGCTGCGTCTTTTACTACGTCATCTCTGAGGGCAGCCACCCCTTTGGCAAGTCCCTGCAGCGGCARGCCAACATCCTCCTGGGTGCCTACAGCCTTGAGTGCTTCCACCCAGAGAAGCATGGTGAGTGGGTGGGGACTGGTCTGGCATTGCCTCTATACTCCTGCTGCTCCCCCTGGGCTTCAGGGTGTACCAGGGCTGGGGGAGGGATGGCTAGAGTTACCCTTGGAGCACCAAGGAGTTCTGAGCTTCCTGCAGAACCTGTGCCCTGGGCAAGGCCCCTCTGGAGACCTGTTTTTTCCAGCTTGTGATATAAGGCTTGAATAATCTAAGGTTTCTTCCTGTACTGGCATTTGAGAGGACAAATTGTCTGTGGTTCATAAATGACTGTGTGAGACACATTCTGTGCTGGGATGGATAGGCTCTGTCCTCACTCTCCTGGCTCAGGCACAAGTCTTTCTTCCTGACTTTGGAGTTTACTGGGTTCTGATAGCCCATGATAGCCTAATACTGTCTCTTGAAAAAAACTAAAACTAAATTATTGTTTTGCTTAGGGGTTAATTTTTCTTATTCATTATAACAAACGATTATCATAAAGGCCAATATTTCCATTATACAGTATTTAATGACTGCTCTTAACTTTTTGGTATATAGTACCAATCACTTATCTAGAAATATGTGCACACTTTTATAAAATGGGCTTAAGTTACTACTTCCCAACAGGCTCATTTTTCAACTTCACTTGAATATCTCTCCATGTCAATCCACATCTAGCCACACCATCATTTTAATAGCTCATCATCCAGTACCTGGAGACACAGAGTGTCTCCCAAGTCCCCATTATTAGTTATTTTCAATCACTCCTTTCACAAAACACACAGAGGACTCCCCTTTATTAGCTGAAGTTTGGTGTGAGTTTTTAATTATCTTATTGGAGTTAATTCCTTTAAATGGAATCCTGCATTCAAAGGTATGCAGATTTTAAAGGTTTTTGGTATTTCGTTGTGACTTTGGGTTTAATAATGGGTCACTTATATTCCTTCTTTGCAGAAGACGTCATTGCACGTGAGCTGATAGAGAAAATGATCGCCATGGATCCCCAGCAGCGGCCCTCAGCGAAGCATGTTCTGAAACACCCATTCTTCTGGAGCCTGGAAAAGCAGCTGCAGTTCTTTCAGGTACATGTGTCTGTTTCTCCATCCCAAGCTTTCAWTCATGTCTTCCTGATTTTGAAAATGGAGAAAAGGACAAAGACTAAAACAAAAGACTCAGAATGCTATAACCAAAATAGAACCATGGCGGCAGGTTAATGTATTTATTTCATACTGGTAAAAGTTTAATTGGGGTTACAACATACATATAGTTAGGAATTATTATTATTATTATTATTATTTTACTGTATTTAGTGTTTTAAGTATTTCTCATGTTAGAGTTCTAAAATTTTAATGACTATTTTATCATATGGATGAGCCATAATTTTTAAACTCTATATTATGGAATTTGCTAATACACAAAAAAAAGTAGATCAGATATTACAAAGAACTCCCCTTTACCAATTCCCCACCATCAACAAGTATTAACTTTCACCCTCTTCCCACTCCTGATTATTTTGGAGAAAATCTCAGGCATTATATAAATTCATTCAAGTGTCATAAATTTGAACATTTCCCTATATTGGATTTTTATTCTGTCATCTTTTACCCAATCTCTGCTTAGCTCTCATTTTGCTTAGGACAGATTCTGTGACATTAAATTATAGAATCAATGACTGTGACTGCTTTTGGTGGTTGGATAGTCTTTGCGACTGTGTGACATCTCCAGATGGCTTTGTGGAGGTTGTGCTTCCATTCTCATGTGGTGTGCCCTGAGCATAACTCACCCAGATGCCTCCCACCGGCACAGCATGGCTCTGAAGAGCAGCCTCATCGGGTAGAGTGGCTCCTCCTGGGTCTTGGCAGAAGTGACCATCACACTGTCTTAGAGTCCCACTGGGGTCTTGGCTATGTGAAGCCCCCAGAACATAAGCTTCTTGTGGTCAGGAGTGATTACTTCATTCTCTGCTCTGTCCCCACCTCCTAGGGAGGACACTGCCTGGCCCACAGCAGGTGCTAGTAACCATTTGGTTGGATTGGGAGGGGCAGGCCCAGGGCAGCAGTGTGTAGCATTAGGGTTGATTACTGTTCCAAATTCTCAAGTCTAGGCCACTTCGATGGCAAAATATAGAATAAAGCTAAAACTTGGGGGCTGGGGTTGTAGCTCAGGGGTAGAGCTTAGCATATGGGACACTGGGTTTGATCCTCAGTATCACATAAAAATAAATTAATTAAATAAAGGTATTGTGTCCATCTACTACTAAAAAACAATTTTTTAAAAAATTTTGCACAAAGGGACCTCCGMGTCACCGTGGTTTAGGATTAGCATCTCTAAGTCATGTCTTGCAAATACAGTTGGCTTCTATCCATGTCASCTCAGAAACACATCCCTACTGTGCCCCGTATGGCAATCTAACCTCTCCAAGGCTTTTCTCTAGGATTACAGATCAGGTGTTCAGCCATTCTGGCTTCATCTTTGTCAAGAAAAAACTACAGCTTATCTAAGTCTGTGTTAACATATCTGGCTCATAGCTCCTCGTTCCCTCCAGTTGTGACCTGTTTACAGGTGGGGATGCGAAAGGCTGGTACTCAGGGTGCCTCCTGACCCTCTTTCTCCTTACCAGAACCAAACACAGCACAGGGCTTGAATCTAAAGAGGCCTCCAGATCCCATATTCTCAACACCAAGTTTTTCCTTTAAAAAGAAGGCTTGGTTTCTTGTCTTTTCCAATGTTCAAATGAGGAGTGACAACACTCCTAGTTAGGATTTGAGCATGTTTCAATGGATAGATAAAGCATGGTTTGCAAATGGATTATAGAGGTTTTTCTTTTTCTTTTTTTGTTTTGGCAAATATAGATTACACATGGCTCTGTGTAAACATGGTTGTGTGTGTTTGAGAGAGAGAGAGAGACAGAGAGATTCCAGAGATGTGTTCATGGTCAGTTGTGAGATGATCTCTGTGGGCCTGTCCTAGTGAGAAACACACAGTGCTCAGTGGGGAGGAGTCGGCCAGCCGGCGAGGCAGGGTGCTGGGTATTTTCTGGGAGCAGCCTGGGCCCAAAGAGGAATGACAGGCTCTTTAAGACCTACACAGCAGTGGCCATTCTGTGGGCCAGCGTGTGCATCCTATAGCGCTCACCATCTCTAACACTGACCAGCATCTGTTGCCTTGTTTCCCTGGCAGGACGTGAGTGACCGAATAGAAAAGGAGTCCCTGGATGGCCCGATAGTGCGACAGTTAGAAAGAGGCGGGAGAGCAGTGGTGAAGATGGACTGGCGGGAGAACATCACTGTCCCCCTCCAGACAGGTGATCATTTCTAAGAAGTTAGCAGGGACATGGCACCGCAGGTTGTCCAAGCTCCAGATCCCACCCTCGGGTTTGAGACTCTGTGTGGTCTGGGTGTGGTCATACTGATGTGTTTGATGTTTGATCTTAGAGTGACAGCTTAATGATAGTGACGGGGGGGGGGGGGGGGATTTCTGATCTGGTTGCAACCTTGAGGTGACTTCATGCTAATGCCACCCTCAGATATGAGGTGGGGCATCTGCTCTTATTACTATAAATAAAGTGATGTCACATTTCAGTCCAGTTGCTTAATCCCCAGGACTCTAAGAATTGTTTTCTTTTAAAAATTTGTTAATTTCTTAGCCATTTCATCCCTTAATGTTTTTCTAGATCTGCGTAAATTCAGAACCTACAAAGGTGGCTCCGTCAGAGATCTCCTTCGAGCCATGAGAAATAAGGTGAAGGGCTTGTGGGTGCTGGGAGGGGAGGTGGCCACACAAGGCACCCACCTCTTTTGATCTGTCCCTACAAGTCCTTTCCTCATGCTGGTTTCCGGCTCTCAGAGGCTAGACTTGACAAGTTAGAGGCTATTTCTTCCCTCATACGGGTCTTTTTTCTCCAGGAACATTGAGGTACAGGGTTAAGCTCTGGAGAGCAGCCTCTCTGAGCTGTGTCCTTCATGGTCTCTCTGCTGACTCCCATGCCCTCTGACTGCCAGCCACCATACAAATATTATAACGGGGACTCTCTGGGCACCTTCTCACACAGGGTCTGGTCTCCAGAGATTCAGGGAGGGGGCCTTTCTTGTCTTTAGGGATACAATACCTTTAGTTTATTTGTTTATTTTATTTTTATGCGTCACACGTGCTAGGCAAACACTCTGCCACAGAGCCTGACCCCAGCCCCCTCGATTGCTTCGAGGCCTCTCTCTAAAGGAGGGGAGGGAGGCAGGACGATTGGGATGGACTGTGGGATGTGCCTTTCCTGTATAGAGAAGCAGCCAGCACTGTGTGTTCCAGCTGCTAACCCTCTGTGTCTGCCTCCCTATGCAGAAACATCACTACCGGGAGCTCCCAGTGGAGGTGCGGGAGACGCTGGGCTCCCTTCCCGACGACTTTGTGCGCTACTTCACCTCCCGCTTCCCCCACCTCCTCTCACACACCTACCGGGCCATGGAGCTGTGCAGCCACGAGAGACTCTTCCAGCCCTACTACTTCCACGAGCCCCTGGAGCCCCAGCCCCCAGTGACTCCAGATGCCCTCTGACCAGGGCAGTCCCTCCATTCTGGTGACCCAGCTGTGACTGCAGACCTGGTCTCTGCAGTCCAGAGCTTGATGCCTCCCAGCTTAGCAGGGAGACCAGGCTTCCCAAACCAAGTGCCTTGAGCTGCCCACTCTGCAGCCAGCAGACGATAATGCTGACCCCAAGAAGTGGGAGAGGTGGCCCTCATGACCTATAGGAAACTAGGAGGATGCTGGCCCTGAAAACTTTGTAGCCCAAGGATGTCTGCAAAGGAGGCTGTGAAGGGAGCACCGCGGACCCTCTGCTGGTTGAACTCACTTCAGCTTGTCTCTTTTTATAATTCCTATTTGATGTCAGCTGAGGGCCTTTCAGGAGGGGAGCAGAGGAATTCTGTGTGGCCTGCAGGCTGAGACCAGCTAGGCTGGGATGCAGGAAGTGCAGCCTCTGCTAGAGTGGGCTGGAGAGGTAAGGAGTGCTGAGGAGGAGGACGTTTGGAGATGTTCTCCTGGGGAGAAGGAACCTTATCACAGATGCACCCAGAGGCTCCTTGGCTACTGGTAGCAGTGTTTCCCCAGGGAGCAAAGCCGTGAGCATGGGGCGTAAAGTTAGGGACGGCTCAGCCATGCACGTGGGCAGCTGAGGTGTATCTAGTCTCTGGAAATGAAGAGGACACTCTGTTCTGGAGGCTGCAGTTGGCAGCATACCAGGGCCTGAATGGAGGCCCTGTGGTGGATTGTGTCCTAGGCCATTTGGGGCCAGAGGGGAAGAGTTCCCTAGCCATCAAGGAGGGCAGCTAACACCAGACAGGGACAGGCCCTCAGGAGCAGAGGGGAGCCACTGAATGGGAGCCTCCTGGCTATGCAGAGAAGACCTTGAGCCAGCTTGTGAGCAATAAGGCCCCTCTGTCCCCGAGACCAGCAGATCAGGATGCACGTGGTGAGTGAGAGCCTGTGGGCTGGGAGCCAAGGCCAGGGTCATGTGGGCTTTGTGGGCCAGCTTTCTATTTCCTGGCAAATCTTAATCTATTTTGATCATACTGTAGAATGCTAATTAGCATAAGTAAGCGAAACTTAACTTGAAACTTACTCATGAGGAAGAAATGCAAGATATCTTCTATTTTGTGTGGTACCAAAAATCATCATCCTCTTGAGAGTGTTCCCATGTAGACCATTATTCTCCAATGCTGAAGAGCAAAACATTCTAGTAACACTATGTAAATGTACTAATGTCAAAGTAATGTTCCCTAAATTATGTCAGTACCTTTTTCCCCCTAAAATCAATCAATATTCATTTCTAACTTTAGTTTCAGTTAAAACTTCTGTCTTTTCCCTCCCGAGAGCTTAGAGGTTACGGTGCAGTCAGGGTCTGCAGCGGGGGGAATGTTCTGTGGGAACTTCCTGTAGCTCCTGGTCTGCTGAGTGTCTAGCCAGTCCGCGTCAGAGCAGCACTGTCAGCTTTACGCAGCCACAGGGTGCTGCTTCCCGTGAGAGGTTTTCTGCTTGTGTTCACATCAGGTCACTTACCCAAAGTTTATTCTGCCTTTCTATTCAGTTCCYTGCTTTCTTAATGACTAAAGTGGCCTTTTTCTTAATGTAACCCTACATCTTTAACCTCATGGAGAACCTGCTCATGACCTTAGAGCCTGAGCACTCTGGTTGGCTCCCTGGTGTCTCCTGTCACATAGTCAGGAACACAGCTGGCTCTGTCCCCTATACCTGGTCTGCCTTCACAGTGCTCTCTGTAGACTTGTACAGGTCTCTTTGCTAGTGAGTCCAAGAGGTGACAGCCCGAAAAAGCATCAGGAGTGGAGCAGGCGCCACACGTGATCTAATAGGACTCCCTGCTTCTGAGGCTGCCGCTCCCCTCCTTCTCCTGGCTGGTTTTCCCTTCGGGAAGTACCCAGGCAGCTTCTTGTGGCCCTCTGTGGTGTCATCTCCCTGTTTTAGCCCAACTTACTGAGAGACAGCTTTTGCAGATGCCTTTTCCACTCACCAGATAGATGATCTGCTAACCACCCAAATTCCTCAAACCCTTTACCCAGCACATTTTATTTTAGCACTTACTGCGTTGCACTGGGCAGGACGCAGGTGCCAAAGAAAGAGATGGGCCAGATAGGCACAGCCTGCCTTCCCAGAGCTGCTTGTGAGAGTCACCCACAAAGACATCAGTGCTACGAAGAAACCCCAGCAGTGGGGAAGGGTGTGCGTTTGGGGTTTGCACCTCTGCCTTAAAATTGCCCCCATCCCAGAGTCCATGGGCTCTGGCCAGGTCACCATCCCTCTGTTCTCTCTCCTCATCTCTAGGGACTCAGGCACTTGTTTTGAAAACACCTGGGCATCATCTGGTGAATCCAGTTTGAGTCTAGAATTCCAGTTTCCCCTTTTGCTCAGCACTGAGGGGAACAGCTCCGCAGCACTGCACACCTTTAGGCCAAGTCATGAGGCCTCTGTGATTCCCAGAAGGCTGTTCAGCTTTTTAGAAGTCTGCTGTCTTCACCTTTAAGACAGAATTGAGTTGCATCTGTTAGGAATCAGAGGACCCTGTATTTCATTTAAATCTGTCTTGGACTGTGTGTGAAGCCTCTCTTGCCCATGAGCCACGTTTCTCTTGCTGCTTCTTAAGCCTTTTGTCTCAGTTTTTGAAGAGCACCACGTGTCCATYATTAGGCACCAAAGCATTGGCACTTTGAGGAATGCTGTTATCACTCAGCACGTCACCAGGGCATCTGGTGGCTGAAGGTGAAACCCACATGCAAATGTCCTGCTCTCACTGCAGCAGCTGTCACAGGCTCTTCATGGAGACGGCACTGGACAGTTACAGACCCATATTGGGTTGGAGGTCTGCAGGGCAGGGGGTCCAGGGAAGTGCTTTCTTTCCACCAACCCTGGAGGATTGGTTCTTGTCAGGGTTGACCTGAGCCTGTGGAGGGGCGTTGTGTGAATGTGATTCATTATGGATGGCAGGTCTTTCTTGCCCCAGTAAAGCAGTAACTGGCTGTTGAGGTGAACTTCACGTAGAAGCAGCCCCTCGGGTCACTGGGCCCTCCCCTCCTGGCTGCTTTCTTTTCAGCAGCTGGGCTTTGGCCAGGTGTGGTTTTGCCCACTGTTCATCCTCCCTCCATTCATTAGATCCTTGTCTGTCTGCCTCTTGTTCATTTCCTTCAGTCAATCATTGGTTAGAAGGTGCTAGAAGAGCCAGCACAGAAGTCCTTCTTTTTGATCTTTGATTTCTGAAACCACGCTTCTCTTGCTCATCCCTCCACATCCGGGAGCAATGGTGTCAGTTGGGTGTTTGGGTGACCTTCCTGGCAGAAGGTCCTGGGCCTCTGTGCAGGAAGCCCATATTCCCCCAGTTCCCCCAAGTCGGGCCATTATCTTGTCAGTATCTGTCTCTTCTTATTCTTTGTTTTCTTTATAAAATAGTGATTTCCTGTGAGTAACTCTGGTTCCAGTTTTATGTGTAGACATCTAAGTCCTTTCTGTATTCATTGGAAAGCCACAAAAGACACCTCTGTGGCTGGGGAGACGGCTCAGTGGTAGCACGCTTGCCTCGCATGCAAAATGGCCCTGAGTGTCATCCCCAGCCCACAAAAATAAACAAAGGACGCATCTGCCATGAGCCTCCCCCTGGAGCAGCCTTAACCAACACTGCCAGCCAAAGTTCCCACCTGGGCCTCTCCTGCTCTCCATGTTGGTGGGTACAGTATTCCTTCCCAGTGTCCCTAAAGCTGTGACGGGGGAGTCCCCACTCACCTAAGCATTACTGGTCAACTATGCGGCATTCTCACATGCAAACGTTGTGTAGTGTTCTTTTTGCAATGACCTATTTATTGAACCTATTTATATTTATTTAATTTTTACTCTGAAGTATATCCAGTCACGGTTGCACTTGCTTAGAGCATATCATCTGTTTGGACAGTGCCCCTGACCAATTCAAAACTGGAAAAGGAAGAGTCCTACTTATCCTTCCACGGATGGATGCCTTATAGTAGTCTTGTCTTTAAAGGGTGAATAATTTGGTCGGGGTAAGATGTTAATTTTTAGGTGATTTTTTTTTTAAATCTGTGCCACCATGTCTTCTCTGTGGATGGTTTAATGTTTGGTTGGTATGTGTTAATTGTGTGGTACAATCCTTTTTGTGGAATTTTAAAATTTTTTTTTAGCTTTATATTTTATAAAATGCCAGATTGTACAACTTTTAAGTGTATTTTTAAAGCTTGATGATCTGAGGGTCATTATCTGAGTTAACGGCCTATTTTCGTACCTCTTGTACAGTTTTATAGTCTGCTGATTGATGATGGCATCTTACGTCAAACCAACAACAAATAAAGGTAGTTTTAGATTTGGGAGTTGGTGTATTTTCTTAGGGACTTGAGCCCAGCTCACAGGCAGGGGCTCCTCCTGCTGTTTTCTGAGGGGCAGGCTCCATGAGGCCTGAGCAGCTGGCCCAACAGCAGGACCCAGGACCTGGAGCACCCTCTTTGAGGGCAGTTTGTGGGAAAAGCTTACCTGAAACATTGCCAAAGTGCCCAAAAGTAGTATTTGGGCTGCATTTTTAGGAATGTGGCCAGTGAGAAGTCTGCTCCAAAAGCGGGGTCTGGATTCTGCCAGCAGGATTCCTAGGCGGGAGAAGACCCATCCAGGTTACTTGGCCAGCTGAGCCCTTGGGGAGTCTTGGTGGGCTCACGGCACCAACACCCGAGATGTCCCCACACTCACACCCAGAACCCTCCAGCGTGCTCTCCTCCCACAGCCCCATCCTGTCTGGAGAAGTCAGGTGAGGCTCCCCGTGTTCCCCCACCAGGACAGGGGCCACTCACAAAGGGACAGTGAGGCAGGGCCTGCATGGACGCTGGCCCCCTCCTCATATCATGCTGGAGGGACTCTGGGTGTCACATCTCATGACTAAAACACTCAGGGTCACTCCAGGTGAACTGGGCTACACGAAATAACCACACAGAGACCTCTGACCTTAGGGGTCCATGGAAAGAGAGGAGCACGTGCTGAACCCTTTTATTGGGAAAAAGCCATTCAAATGAGGTACAGGGTCAGGTTTCAGGGGGTTGAGTCTGGCTTCTTGGTGTCTGCTGTCAGCAGATTGACTGACATCTGGGGAGACCATGCCCATCTCATGAGCTGTGTGGGGATCATGGCAGAGCAAGGCCCGCCCAGACAGAGGGGCAACGTCGGTTCCCAGTCCACTTTGTGCACTCAGTGCTCATAGTTGACAGACACAGCCCATGGCTGGCTGGCCACATCTCCACATTGTCACCACTCAAGGCTAAGGGGTGCTCAGTTCTATGTGGCATCTCCCAACATCTGGGAACAGCACTGAGACCGCAGACACACCTTCTCTCTGAAGCACTGGGTCTTAGACAGCCACATCCCAGGAGAAAGAGTGCTGCCTTTGGTTTCTCCTCGGGGCTGCTAAGCAGAGCTGAGATCCAGCCTGGAAATGGCCCGGCCCAGGAGGCAGCCGACTGGTAGCTCCCTTTGGCTGCCTCTGAGAGCAGAGAGATGCAGGGGAGGCCAGAGTCTAAAAGACTCTTCTTTTCTGCCCCATGCTGTCACAGACAGGGTTGACTGGCCAAAGACAGCCTTGAGGTGAGGTCAGATGCTTTGTACAAGTCAGTTCCAGGCTTATAAGAAGTTGCTCATTTTCTGTATGTTGGCTAGATTTCATTTAATACATATAGCCAGACATACAAGGATCATACATGTCTATTTCCTGTCAGCCCATGTAGCCACTTGTACTGTCTTTTTATATGTGGCCCATCTGGGTCATTCTTGCCCATATGCACTATAGCTTCAAGAGATTGTTGCCAACCTGCCTGCCTTTCACTGTGGACCAGGCTCTGCTGGGGCATCCTGTGCCAACAAGGCCTCACTTGTTGGCCTTATTCTCTGTCCCTGAGCCCAGTATTTCCCTCATGATTGAAAATACTTAACAGCTTTCACTTAGTGAGTGACTGGCCAGATCAGATCCTTTGCCAAGGCCCAAACCCAGATCATGAGCCCATCTCTGGGACAGCTGCTGAGGGCAGAGTAACAGGGCTGGTGAGGACTTGGCAGCCACTGGGAGACCACGCTGAAGGACCGTGGGGGTAGAGCAGGCAGGACAGCAGGACAGAGGGCTGGGCCTCTCAGAGAGTCCAGCAAACAATGACTCTGCCTTGTCCCTTCCCTTCCCTCTTGTCCCTTTGCCCTCTATAATCCACTCAGGAAGCGGAGGCAGGAGGATCACAAATCCAAAGCCAGCCTCAGCAACGTGGTGGGGCCCTAAGCAACTTAGCAAGACCCTGTCTCAAAATATAAAACAGACTGGGGATGTGGCTCAGTGGTTGAGCACCCCTAGGTTCAGTCTCCAGTACCAAAAGAAAAGAGAGAGAGAGAGAGAGAGAGAGAGAGAAGGAAGAAGAAAACTGGTAAGCAAACAAAAGCACAAAATTAGAATACAGGAAAAGTTTAAACAACAGAAGTAAATGGCATACATTCATCCATTAAAATGCATAAATTGGCCAGATGTGGTGATGCACACCTGTAATCCAGCTATTCCAGAAGGCAAAACAGGAGGATCATAATGTTGAGGGTCAAGCTGGTCAAGCAGCTTAGTGAGATCCTGTCTCAAAAATTAAAAAAAAAAAATTAAAAAAATAGAAAGGGCTGGGGATATAGCTCAGTGGTAGAGCACTGGTCCAGCATGAGGCCCTGCATTCTACATACCCCTAGTTTGGGGGAGAAAGTGAAAAAATTCCCAGGTTGGGTTTGCTTAATTTTTTTT